TTATATCTATTTACATATTTCCAAGATTTGATTGTCTTCATCATGTGTATCGACCGTGCGATCGCAATGATATTCGACAGTGATCGGAATATATCTCTGTGTCTGCCCACATATCTAGTCTTTATTGTAATTGAATTTTCTAACCAGACGATCAACACATTCCGATCTCAACAAATCATTTTCGTTGGCACCATTTCTTTTTCTTAGGAAGGCCAACACCAAAACTATCCGATGAAAATTAAAATCGAATTCATATCAACAAAAATGCATGTATAAATTTCGATTGTGATTCATTGCGATCAAACCAAATATGATGGAGAGAGAGAGGGAGAAAGAAATGAGTGGTTGCTTTGTTCTGATGTGAGAACAGAAGCTAATGTAGATAGAACGAGTGCAAGGAAAACGATCGACGCGTCTAACCGAAGGAAGCAATGCGGTGCGCAATCAAATCTCATGAAATCAAATGACGAACAATATTTTGTGTCTTTTCTCTTCTCTGTTTTTTTGGTCTCTCTCTCTCTCTGTAACTCGGTGTTTTTTTCTCTCTCCTTAAATTAAGGCATACATGAAGAAAATGCACGCATATCGCAATCGCATTTGAAGCATGAAATGAACTCTGTTGAAATCACCAAAAACTCCCGGCCGCACATATATAGTCAAACTCAAGAGAGACTTTCAAATATGAAGAATAAATAAAATCAAATAATATGAAAAAAAAGTAACAACAACGGTAAATGCGAACACACAAAAAAAGGAAAGTATACAAATATCGTTTGGTTGTCTTGTCTTGTCTCTGCGGGCATCTAAACGATGCATTGTTTTAGAACAGCATGCGGTATGCATGGAGTCAGTGCAGTGGCGCCAAATTACTAACCAATTTTTAATATATATTTCATTTTTCGTTCGTTCTGCTGGTCGTCGTCGTCAACGATGACGACGACGACGTCGTCTGCACCGTACGCTGTCGTCATTTTTGGGTTTTCCTTCTTGCACTCGTTTTCCATGCTACATTTCGTTCGAATTTGTTGTTTCTTTGCTTCTTGTTCTTTTCTCTTTCTTTCTTCCACAGTGCGCCTCACTTTTTTTTGCTTTGGTTTTTGGCTCGATCCAAAATGTATAGAGAGATATATGTCCTGTCAGACTAATTCCATATTGAAGACGACATAATATTTAGGAAAGATATTTCTCTTCTTCGTTTTTTGTTCTTTTCATTTTATTTCGAACGTTTGTCATATATTCTAACATTTTTTTCATGTAATGTTAAACGATCTTTTCATTATTTGACCCTTCACAGTTCGGCAAAGCGACAGTCTGACGCATGCATGCCACTTTCAAAACTACTACCTCACGCTGCAAAGGGAATATTTGCTGCCATAGATAATATCGACAAGTGCAGCGTATGCACTGAGAATTGTCCATATACCAGCATGGAACAGAGCGTGATGAAGAAAGAGGTGAAAAGAAGAGAATCGGTCAGCTCAAATTGGCTGATGTTACATAATCATGTGCACTTCGATTAACCTGAACGATTGTATCCACAAACACATTCAATCACATGCGTTGCATCAAATTTGACTCACTGACGCCAAACAGTGGGATTAATGGAATTTCGATTAAAATGACGAGCGTTTAAGTTGTTTTGTGATTTTATTTCTCTTTCTTTTTTGGTTTTTCTTTGTTTCATTTTATTTTTTGGAAGAAAAAAAAACAATGAATGACCTTCATTCCGTGTATTGTGACCAAAATCACAATAAAAACGTGCATGCGAAAAAATATCGCGCGAAAAAAAAGAAGATGTAAATGAAATTGTGTAGAGCTGCTATCGAGATAAAAATAAGGCAAACGAGCGATCGAATGAGTGGTCGAGGAGTAATAAATATCAACATCGTTTTCGAGAGTACAAGAAACACACCTCAGAGAGACAGCTAAAAAAAGCCATCGATTGGTTCGCATTTTCTCTGTCTTTAATTCCATTGTCGTCGTATCCACTCACGACTGTATTTTATCGCTTCAGACATTAGCAAAGGACTTTCGGTGCTTTTAGCTTTGTTGTTTCGATAGATTTATGGCGAAATGCGGTGGCAGTGATGATGTGAACCAATCTCGGGGAAACGATGGGTTGATATCGATCAAAGCTGGCGAAAGGTCAAAAAGGTAACCGAATGCGAGTGAAAAAAAAAGCGAAGCAAAAATCAAGAAGTCAAGTGGCTGATGCGCCGTTGACGGCGCACAAGAAAACGAAGAGGAAAAAAAACACATAAAATAAAAAAATAATAAAACGATGTGAGGACACAAAAAGACAAAAAAACACATAAATTTCGCTCCGTGAACAATGTGTGGTAATGTTGATGACAATGGGAAGGTGTGACTTTCTGGCGTCATGAATTACACAAATTGAGAATTATACATTTGGGCCGTCGCACAAGCGAGAGAGATGTGTTTCATCACGAATGAGAGAGAGAGAGAGACATTCGGTGCATAGAAAGGAGAAAGAGCAAAGAAAACACCGATTTTTATGCGATCGTACACACATTTCGGATCGGTATTCAACTACCGGACTTGAGTTTTTCTCATGTCTTTTTTGTCTCTCTTAGCAAATCGTACAAGAAAAAGTCACACGACACATTGCAACGACGTAATGTTGAAGCATACTTTTTTTATGTGCCATGCTCTCGAGGTTGCTTTTGTTTTTGCCGACGAAGGCGCCACATAAGCGAACTTTGCGATACACGCTTCTTTTTCCGAATCTAACCGCTCTGATAAGCTGTGTTTCAAGTAAGCACTTAATTCGAGCATTTTATCAGAACACAAATCCTCGCGGCAGTGGGCCTACATCAGCGCATTCTGCACGCTCTCAACCACTCTCAGCAGAATCGACACGGGTTTTTATTCGTTGTTCGATCAATGCAAAATGTGTCCATGACTCTGGCTAATTCACAGTGAGTAATGATTGCGTGCACAAATCGATGATTATGTCACTGCCATGCATTCGATTCCGAGTCAAATGGCTTCCCAGCACCCGAAAAAGAAGTTCGAAAATTCGTGTGCCCGACCAAAGAGAAAAGTATGGAAATATGAAAAAAGCAAAATCCTAAATCTTTATTATTTTTGTAAATATTTATGGCGCCCATAATGTTGCTTGTTTTTCTTTTGAACTAGGCACACACCGCATAATTTCCAAACCATTTCAATGATTTTTCGAGTTTCAGGACTTAAACTGCGGCTAATAGTCGAAAATTGGTTTCGAATCAAGAAAACAAAATTATTTCTATGATAAATTATTATCGAAGGGAGTTGAAATCATCGCTGCTCAAGCAGCAATTTAGCCAAACAGTATAACAGACAGAAGAAACAAAAACACACACACAATATTTCATCATGTAATTGATCAAATAGAAGGATCACCAAAATGCTTTCAAGTTGAGAGTGGAACACGGAAAGGAGTCACTCGAACATAAATCAATGGTTGTTTTAAATGCGCAACTCACACAGCTTAATAATAACAATTTTTTACAATGATCGTTGCCAAAGTATTGACTTCATCGGTTGGGCCGATTCGAAATAGGCGGTTAATAGCAGACGCAGAGAACATGAAAATTATACGAAGTGATTGGGAGAGAGAGAGAGGAAAAAATTGACATGAAAATTGTTACCTCTGTGTCTATTTCGTTTGCACTTTGATTGATCTGTCGAGCACTCAACAAGTCTAGTTAACAAGGAGCAGCAAAAATTGAATTCCATTTGATACGGTCATTTTTTCGGATAAACTTTTTTCCTTAACTATTCTCTTTCTCTCTCTCACTTTAGTTATTCAATGTATTATGATTGTTGCTCCTTTGCCTCGATTCACTCAATGTTTCGCTTTATTTTTTGTTTTTCACTTTTGATGGGTTATTTCTCTGTTTTTGTATAACTCCAATTAAATTGGCAGCTATGCCGAATTTCAAACAGCTCAATTTTCCCATTTTTCTTGCGGTCGTGTGTGTGTGTGTGTGTGTGTGTATGTTGTTGATTTGCTAAAGTAAACAAAATACAATGGCAAATGCCACTTGACATAGCGTTTTTCTTTCAGTCAGTGAAATATTTTGATATGTAATTTAAGTCATCGGTTTGAGGAGAAGACTCAGGAGAGAGAGAGAGATAAAAAAAGGGAAATTTAAGATGTTTTCATCCAAACAAAAGTGACGGCTTCAAGAGACCATCCGCATGAAGTGCATCTATTCATTTCGGATTTCTGACTTGACTGCTGACGACAAACGATGCCAACGACAAATAAAAATATTTCAACAGCCAAACAAAACAAAGAATGAGACGGCGATGACGACGAGTAGAAGAAAAAACCACCAACAATTTTTTTTATCAGTTGAACCATATTTTCGGCGTTTTTCCCATATTTTTATTTTTATTCTGTACAAATAAAGCAATTTAATCGTTTTGCTGTGGCTGTTGACTATTGATCGTAGTCACGGTGCTAAAATCTATGCTGCACAAACGCATCTTTTCAAATGATTGTTTCTTGTGTAAATATTTATTTAGTACAACACCAAACCGAAGGTTGATGTGTTAAATCGACAAACAAAGCAGGTTCCTGCAGGAGTGGAAAAACAATGCGACCGTGTGTGTGCGTGTGATTTTTTTCTTTCTCTTTGCTTTTTTCAATTCTATTTCGATGGATGAGACGTCGTAGGTCGTGAGTGCCATTTTTCACATTTAGCTGTAGAAAAAAATGCGATAAATGCGCCGACGTGGTTTTGAATGTGGATTTGGGGGGCGCCATTCACTAATTAATACAATGAATTTTCATTTCTGGTGGCTACAAGAATCTGATTGAGCATTTAACACTTCTTCTCCGCTTTTATGTTTAGTTTGGATTTTGTTTTGTAATTCTAGTGCACAATGCTCATCTCAAGTTCAACGTTAGGAATTTCTTATGATGTCATGTGCTTTTTTCGATTGTTTTATCGATTGAATACATGGGATAATTGATGCATTTAACTTACCGTCCGCTTTTGGTGATGATCATTTCCGTGCCAATTTCATGGAATTGCTGCCACAATTCCATATTTTGCAGCGTTGCATTCACATCCGGCAAACCATAACGTGGTGGTAGCTGAACGTGACGCGACATCGCCAACATGTTTGGATATGGATCTGTGAATGCAAACGGAATAGAAAGAAGAATTAGAATTTTATCGTGAAGGGTTGAGTGTTGTGAGCTTTCTTTGTGCAAAAGTCGGATCAAATTCAAAATTTAATTTCCCATTCCATCTCAGAACATTTGCCACTTGAACAAGATCGGCTTGATATACATATGAAAATGAACAACGCATTTCGTTGAAATGAATGACACATTGTTCCGTCGGTGTCAAAAGTTGTTGATTATTGAAATGTATAGCCACTTCGGATTTAAAACATACCGGGCAAGCGTTGCAACATTTGTTGACGATAAATTTCCTGGGCAATGTGATGATGCAAGCGTAAATCCACTAAATCATTCATTTTGTTTGATTCTCTTTTTTTTCTATCACAAATATTCACTTGATTTTGTTATCAAAAATAATTGCAACTGCGCAATAATTTATTTTAGTTTTGCAAATTGTTTTCTTTTTTCTTTCGTTAAATATTTCACAATAGTTCAAATCAGTCAATTTTCACTGCGAGAGTAATAAAGCACTTCAGGTGTGATATCGAATGTAAAAATAAACACAAACACAACACTCAAGTAAAAGCGAGAATAGTTTGGTTCCGTTAGAGAGAATTTGTGGATAAAAAATGCGCAAATTCGATTTCAAAAGTCACATTCAGAGAGCAAGAGACTAAATCCCAAATACGTGTTGATCGTGCAACGTAAAATCTTAAACTGGTCTGTTGTCGTTGGCGTAGGTTTCAGCTTGATTCGTCCAGCCGTGAACAGCGTAGGAAAACGTGTTGTGAGCAGAAGAATATCGAAGACGAAAGGAAATGAACGATCGTCGTTCGTCGTCGTCGTTGTTGTCGATGTGTGAATGTATGTGTGAGAGAGAGGATAGTCTACGGCTGAAGCTTCAAGTGCGTGGTGTCTGTGTTAAGTATAACCATAGCGCCATCGTTTGTCGCCTATGAAATAATCACTGCTGCTGCTGCTCATTTTCTACAATCAACAACACACAAAAGAGAAACACATTTTTCGGTTCTCGATCGTGTATGGCTTGATTTTTCGTCTGTTCGTTTTGGTTTGTTCCTTCGGAATTGCGAGAGGCACACAGCACTCGAGAAAAGGCGATTTTCTTTTCAGCTTTACTCTAAAATAACACTCGACAATGTGTTGCACAAGTTTAAAGCCATTTCACTTGTGTGTATGTGTCTCGAGACGGGAATGGTGTGATTGGTGGACCACCAAATATGTTGGTGTGCCGAACAAATAGTCTATCCACATTTCGAACTGTTGGCTCCGCCTCTTCAATTCCGTTTTAGCGTTGTACAACGCAATGGCGTTCGCCGTCTCGATATTAATTTCGATTATATGTGAAAAACTGACGCTGATTCGTACACACAGTTTTTTTCCCTTTTTTCAATCCACATTGAATAGAATTTGATATCTTTTACAGCTTCTTGAATCTCAATCAAGTAGTTTTTTCGAAAATGGGAGAGAATTTAACGCTCAAATCCAACGGACCGTGACTCTTGTATTTTTGAATAAGCGCCCAATTTCGATTCAATCAAACACAATTTCATTAAACTGATAAAGTAATTAATTGTTCCGGCTGCGGTGGCCACACGTAATGCAGCTCATCATATTATACATAGACTGTCTGTAAATTGATGAAGCTTATAAATAGATCGAGGGGTTATTTTGTGTTATTCAAATAACATTAAATTGCTGTTTAGCACGTCGATTTCTTTCTACTTAATGCTCAAGTGTGAATATGCATCACACTAATCCTATGAAATCGTTACGCTTTTCACATGCCTCTTCGTATTATATAACGCATTAATTGGCTGATTTTGGATATTTCCTTCCACACAACAATCTGATATGCAAAACTTCTGTAGCAATTTATTAACGATGTCCCTCTTTTATAATAATAAACACTTTGGTTGATTAAACTGTTTCGATTGACAGAAATATCATTTCAATTTTGTAAAATAACTTCTGTTCATTAACACGTAGCTTTTTTGTAAATTACAAATCGATTTCCTTTTAGATACTGAATATTGGAGCTTATTTCAATTCGTTTCTATAACAGAAAATTGAAATTGGGAAATTGTGTATTTTATCAAATCGTTTTCTCAATTATTCATTTTAAATCAACAATATTACAGTCTAAAATTGCATATTAAGAGAATCTATTTATCGAATTTGTTAGAATAGGAGCACAACTGCAGTTATCTCTAAATAATCTCAATACGTTAGAATTGGTCGTCATTATTTTCATTTAAAACAAATCAGAATTAAATCTCATCCTCAATAGATTGTTTGATTTATGAAATGCTCTGAACAATTTGAGTTCGCAATCAAGACGAAAATTACTAATTTGAAATACTCATGAAACCCAAACGTGATTATTGTGAATTCAAAGTTAGAAGAAACAACTGATTCTCAAATATGACTTTACAAAGAAAAAATTAGCGAACAAATTATTCGAAAATAATAAACACAAAGGTAAACTTTCTCAAATGAAAATCAATTGAAAAACAGCTTTGAAATAATGATTCAAATTTTTCGCGACACCGAATTTTCATCGCTTTAAAATCAGATAGTATGGGTTCTAGATATGTCTAATATTATAAAATGATCATGCAGCGATTGTGATTTAATGCTTAACGTTCTTAGTCACGCTTGCATATTTCGTTTTCGAAATGATAATAAATCGTTTAAGCGAGCCAGAAGTCACTGGAAGCCATGATTTCGGCCAAAAAATGCAATCCTGGGTATGCATGACAAAGAATCAGCCTAATGGTTAGTCATTAGGCGTTTTTGATGAATGCCAAAAGTCGTAGCCAAAAATCTGACAAAAATTTATGACTTCACTTTTAAATGATAAAAACGACGCACACACACACACACACACAAAATCCACACAGCATTTAGTATTTTTTTGATTATTTTCTATTTTTCCGAATTTCCGCATTTTTCCTTTTCATGTGGAAGAAGAATGAGACGGGCCACAGAAAAAAATTCACATGAAAAAAAAAATTGAGGTAGTAGTATGACTAATTAAGTGAGTCGTCCGCCAAAACATTACCCAAAAAGATAACCGAATAGAGACGGTAGTGGAAAAAATCGACTTTGTTTATTTATGGTATGTAGTGATTTCATGGCGTGCATTTCTTTTGCATGCCGTTGTTCTATTATTATTTCTATATTTCTCTTCCAAAACTTAGGTCAGTTCAGTAAAACATTTGCCCACAAATTGGTTTCGATAAACGATTTACCTATGGTTTTGTTGTTTGCTTTGTGTGGGCTTGAACGAACAAAAATTATAGTCATTCCATTGATAATAAATAAAAGCTTTATTAGTATGTTTCTTTATGCATGCAGGCATCGACTGCCCAGAAATTGACTCCGTCGCCCTTGTGATAGTATTGTGAGAAATTTCGATGCGTCGTTTCCTTGTCGCGTCAGTTTCACCTGAAAATGAATAAATGCCCATCGATTCGGATTTTCATTCGTTCGTTCGTTTTTTTATTGCCGTATAAATATTTGATGTGGCAAAGTGATGACAATAACATGCGGAGGCATCTCATTCCCATCCATAAATCAGAGACATGGTCGTTGGTGTTTCGCTAGCTAGGATTATAAAGCCACATATCGCTAACCTGTTATTAAGAGAAATTATGACAAACAAACCTTCGAATCAAAATCAGAGTGCCTTTTCTTACTTCAATTTGATTTATGTGATCACTGATCGCTTTTCCCTTTCTCAAATCGCCCGCATTCGTATAACATGAGCGCAATCAAAAAAAGGCCTAATTTTATTTGTCAGTATTGCAAAGGATCAAATCAATCCGAAAAATGTCTGTGCGATCGCCCAACGTCACTTAATATGTACGACGTGATACTTTTCGACTGCTCCCTTTGTGAGAACAGGCAAAGTGGAATGCAAGAAACACGAATGCTCGCACCACCAAAATGGAGAGAGAGTAAGAGATTGAGAGAGTAGAAAAAAACACACAAAACAATCCGATCGCCGTGTATTACATTCGGTTTGGCTCGTTATAATATTGTAAATGCCGTTCATATAAAGGCGCCAGTTACCATCCGCACATAAAATATTATTGCTGTTTTACCTTTGTTCTGGTTACGTTTTCATTCTTTCTCTCTGGTCGCTCGTTTTTTTTTGGTCTATTTCTCCTTTTCGGTTCTGTTTATCGGTGGTTAAGGTTAATGTTAATGTTATTGGTTTTCGATTCCGTTGTTGTTGTTGCTTTTTTTTCGTTCATTTTTGAAATATGGACTCAACATTCCGATCCTTATCACAACAGCAGACTGTGAATAAAAGATAAAAAAAATTGTATGCAGTCCGACATGAGTTTTGGTACCATTTCGTGATGGTGTGTGTGCTTTTTTTCTTCATTTTTCACTTGCCTTTGTTCCGATACGCACTTGACTTTCGCATGCATTCTGACTCATTTGGCTGTATGTTTTTCGGCTTCTTGTTCTTCGATCGGCGCATGCGTGCCGCACAATTCGCAATATGTACTTAATTTTTTTAATTGTTGGTTTTTTTTCTTTTGCCCTGCCATTTCGATGTTAATTTCATAATGGTTAATTTAGCGGAACAATTGATTGTAATTGCATTGGTTTTCTTCCCCTTTGTTTCAATCAGGTTAAAATATTGCTAGGATATCGACGTATTGCTCTTTTAGATTGAAATGTCCATGGTTATAAATTAAATTTTATCTGTATATTTATCGGCTTTTAAGAATGAACAAGTACATTTTCAGCCCCTAAGCGATAAGTTCAAACGACCGCTGCCTTTTTTTTTGCTTTTAAAATGCGATGTGTTAGATAAATTGCCGATGTTTTGCATCCGGAAATGACGAAAAGTGTCTCCATTCAAACATGTTCAAGTGCTCTTCTTTGCACCACAGCGGGCAGAGGCGATAAGCAAACTACTTGTCGATGACCAAATTCGTATTGAAAAAAATATTTTTGAACAAATCCAAAAAAAAGTCTGACCTCGACTGAAATTGACACCGATTTTCAACATATGGAGTCAAATATCGGATGTGAATATTCACGAGGCGTCTTGTGAGAAAAAGAAATAGAACATGCCAGACGATAAATGTACAAGAACTAAAACCTCGCCCCAATCAAGGCATAAATATTGCATAACACATGTTTGATAGCCAGAGGACGAAAAAAATAAACAGGACTGGAATTCTATGACATTCCTGCCAATGAGAAAAATGACTAGAATGACGTTCGGTTTGGCGCCATCTGCAAGTAGGAAGTATTTTGCCATACAAATACGTTCAATTGTAGCTGTCATTGGTTACTGTCATTGATAGTTGACAGTATATTTATATAGGAGTTTCATAGTTCAGCATTCAGCACCAAGATGTCGCTTAAATATAGCATAAACACGTGCTTCATATAAAAACATAGGCAAATGATAAATTGTTCCAGCAAAATCGTTCGGAATTATTTTTTTCGTACGAAAGACTATATTGGAGTGAAAGAGAGAGATTCTACTGATTTTCATCTTTCTACCGGAATTATTCCTATAACTCAAGGAAGGGTGATAGTTATCGCAATAATTTGGATATTGCAATAATCAGTGTAATCTCTCTCTTTCACTCCAATATAGTCTTACGTACGAAAAAAATGATTCCGAACGATTTTGGTGGAATGTCATAGAATTCCAGCCCAGAACACTTTTGACATAAATTTTTAGCCTGAAGAATTTCAATTTTGAGGATATGCGATTAAGCATTCAATCTCTTTGACATATTTCTGTTCAAAAATTAGAAAAAAAAGGTTTCAATAGTAACACATCAAAAATGTATTTGTTTTAAGATACGGTAAAAAAACATGCCATTTCACAGAAGTTTTGTCATTTCCAATCAGGGGACATCTTCATTGTTTAAGTGAGATCGATCAAGATGGAATGGAAGAGAAAACTTCAATACCTCCTCTACTGCAAAGGGCTGTGAGAAACATCACAAAAAGAGAACAAACAATAAAAATTGAATATCCATGTACCGTTGACGATACGGAATGTTACAATAGAATACTCGAGGAATTTATTAAAAGGTCAAAAAGTCACATTTACATTGTAAAATTTAAATTGGTTTTTGTTCAACATCATTCCTGCCTTTACGTGGTCAAATAGATGTGTGATTGATGAAATGCCATCAATTAATTTTACTCAATGAAACCATATTAATTAGTGAATGTATCTGCATTTCAAACGTTGCTTTATCCAAAATTAATCACTTAAGCTAAAATCAATGTAAAATTAAAGCAATAAGATAAGTGTGATGATAAGGCGAGAAGAGTTCAAAATTGTTAAAATACTCAGCGATGCGCGTTACCAGAATTTTGGCTGGTACACAGCACATTTCACCAGTTGCGACTTCGGTCATATATTCGTTGATGCGAGTATAGTGTGAGTACCAGTTAGAACGTGTGTACATAAGGCGCGAACTAAGACGACAATTCACTTCGCAAGAATTTGACCGCTTGCACATACGTTGTAACTGGTAAACCGTACACACGAGCCACAATTTGCTTTAATTCGCATGAACGAATGTATGACCGAAGTAGCAAATGGTGAAATGTGCTGTGTACCAGCCGATCAACTGGTGACGTGCGTCGCTGAGTAGCTAACGATTTTCTAAGAGGTATTTGCCAACTTTCACGCATTTCGATGCTTAATCTCACGATACGTTTGGAATCCAAAATGTGTTTTTTTATTGACCGAAAATTGAACTCTCCGTTGATGTGAATTCATTTGCATTTTGAAGAGTTCGATACCAATTAAAATTATATGATGATTATAAAAAAAGCCAAAAACAACCTTGTCTATTCAAAAAGCGAATGTGAAACAACGTCCTAGGTGTAAAACTCCTGCGCCATTAAAATCTGAATGTTTTGGACTGTTCAATGCATGGCATAAAAACGAAATCGGTCACATTATTTAAAAACTTCGAAGATGCTGAAACAAAGAAGAGGGGTAGAGAGAGAGAGAGAGAGAGAGAGAGAGAGAGAGAGAGCGAGAGAGAAATTTGCAATGGGTTAACTCTTGTGGTGCTGATAACAAAAGAAATTTGCTAAATTGCTTGAGACAAATTAATGATCAAAACGTTTTGGCCATAAATCTCGGTTAATGAATGCGACCTGAATGGGATCCGTATGCAAATGTGTCAGATAATGTCTGATGGATGTGTTGGCGTTTAAAAAGTCATCACGGCAACACTTTTTCGTTCGGCTTTGTTTTTGTAGTTCACACATGCTAATAAAAGCACGTACGAGCAATTTTATAGTCGGTTGTTTGTTGTGCTGCGGCTGCTGCTGCTGCTGTTTTGGTACAGTCGGTATTTTGGTTGCATTCAACCTGTCTCTCCAAACTCGTTTCGTATTGGTTTGAATTGATGTGTATTCAAATGTGAGCATCGTCTCTCGCACTCCCCGTGCCACAGTCAGAAGGATAGAAAAGAGATGACCGATACTAATCCGAAAGTAGTCATTTAAGCAGAAATCAGAAGCCAGAAGAAAAGAAAACACAAAACCAAAACAAATGTATAGAACGCTAAGAGAGCGCTTAAGCCACCAAAAGTTGATAATAAGTGAAGATAATAATATATTTTTGGGTGGTTTCATTATCAATTGACGGCTTTTAAAGCAAGAGCGCGGTAGCCAGGACCAAATTTGGTTACAATACACACGGAACGGGCCAATACAGTAATGTGATCGTGCGCGCGAGCATTCCAAAAGTAGTCAATTTACTCTCTGTCGATGGCATAATAAAGGTGCCCCCCCAAAAAAAAGTGCAATCCACGTACGCATAAGGAATAAATACATTTAAAACGTCGAGAATCTTCTGTGATGATACCGCTCCGTTTCTTATCACTATCTCCTTCTTTAATGTTTCTCTTTTGTGTGTGCTACACACTGGCTAAATTCTCTCTTTGAACACAAGTTCTTCTCTCTTTTTTTGAACAGTTCCGCTTTCAGCATTTATCTACACACCGATTGAGTATTTAATGAATCCTCACTACCACACATCAATTTGAGCGAAGCGAAGAAGAACGCAACAACAATAACAACAGCAAAGCCAACAATACAAAAGGCACAACGAATGCGAGAACAAAAAACGAATAAAACGTGAACGTACTGATTAGTCACATCAGGTTACATTGCTACCACGCAAAATGATGAACGCACATTTTCTTTCTGGTGGTCTCACTCAACTACAAGTTTTTCTTTCGTTTATTCTCTCTTCCACTGATTGCCATTTCCAAATCAAATACTTTTCTACGCATCCTTTTTCTCTTTATTAATTAGAGTCATTGATAATTTTGGACCATTCTCGTCTGTCAATCTCTTGAAAGGAGGTGGCGTGCGATAAGCGAAAATTGAGTTCGTCAACTCGAAATTGAAACTAATTACCGAATTGGAAATACATTTTCCAAACGATGATTTTCCCATGGATTTCGAGTTCGTTTTGTCACGAGCACAAAGAATGTGCGCAGCTGATTGAATGGGCAAAGTCAAGTAGATGGAAATGAATATGTCGGCACACAAGATAAAACTGTTCCTGGCTGTACAGTGTACATGGCTCAAGTAGTGTACTTCTCAAATAGGCATTTCATATTTTCATAAACGCTCAATCCAACTTTATACTGCTTACCTTGAGTATATTAATTGCTTTCCAAAGTTTAGCTACAGATTGAAATTGAAATGAATTTTGTTTGCATCAACATATATGTTATCTATAGTTAGTACCACTCATTTATTAATGTTTGGAATTAATTTTATTTTTTATTCTTCTTCTTTTTCTTAAAAAAAATTGCCGAGTTAAACTCGCACGAAGTAATTGGTTATACCGTCCTGATTGCCAGTTGCTGATTCAGACATTCGAATAAAACCCTTGAACCAATTAATTTCATTTCAATACTTATTTGTTTATTCTTTTTCTTTTTTTTTTCAAATAATGAGTAACTTTGACAAATTCAACCTCAAACAAGTAATGTTCGGTAGCCCTAAAAATATTCAATATTCTGTTTAAATACATATTACTTTTGAATTTCGCAGAAACTAAGTCCATATATTAAACTTATTATTGATATATCATTTGGCATCCATGGGTCATCATGAAATTGAATGGTGATGTCATCCTTTATTTGAGCTTCAGACTTCACTGGAGCACCTCTTATCGCACAATTTTCTGATGGATTTTGTTTCAATCGAATTTCGTACATGAATCCTGGTTTAACAAGAATCGGTTTGGGTATCGTGACCGTTATGGGAAAAATATATGTTATGTTTTTTTTCATTGTATTTCTCTACTTCTTCTTTGGAATCATCGGAACCGGATACTTCGACGATGGTTACTTCGGTTGGTAAATTTTCACACTTAAGATAGCTACCGTTGAGAAATTCACTGACACTACGAATCCCGAAGTCTATGAGCAAAAGTGGTTCGTTGGTGGAGAACTTGGTTGTTTTCAAATTTTTGATAAAATATGGTTTAGACGAGTGCCACGGGAACCATCGATTGCAAACAATCTCTTCTTTCTCTATCCTTAGAACTGTGTCGCAGCGTTTCTCGCGATTCCCATTAAAGACTTTCGCTTGAAATTCTTTGTTTGTAATCATTTAAATGATGTCCGCATACTCGTCAGATCCAAAAAACTGTCGATATGATGGAATCAGTGCTCCAAATTCTTCAAATGACATCGACCCAAATCGAATTACATAAAACGAATCACCAAGTTGAGCTTGCACGAGTTCCTTGGTTAGATCGTCCTTCTCGGCAGTTGTTTTGACCCATGATTGCATGACAGAAAACCAGTTGACTTGAGCACAGCATTTGTGTTGGCCCCGATAACCGTTTCACATGACCGCTTCAGATCATCTTGGTTGAAGAGTGTCGCCAATCCATAGTTTGGGCAAACGTTTTCCTCGTTGATATTTTTCATTAGGAATTGGCTGCACACCGCCAAACATTCCGTAATATTGTATTTATCGCCGAGATACATCACTTTCGGAATGTTTTCGGTCGTCATCTTGACTTGTCCAAAGTAGAAAAACTGCAAAAAATTCCTTGAAAGCAGCGGCCGACGCATCGCTAATCTTCACCTCATTCTTCTCTTTCCACAATCCATTGAACTTTTTGGCGAAGACATCGCTTCTGGCCATCAAGAGTACCTTGTGTGCCGGCACTCGTTCTCTGTCATCATTTGATTCAAAGACAAAGTGAACATCGGCCGACTCAAAGTTCAAGTACAACGTTTGGCCGCTTATATATGCAGTCGAAAAGACTGCATGTAGCGGGTGTCGCTATATGCAGTCGGATTTTTTTCATACAACTGCATTTAACCGTAACCGCTATATGCAGTCGAATTTTTATTTTCGTCTTTTGTCTGCATATAGCCGCTGGCGCTATATGCAGCCGAAATTTTAACCCTATATTTATTTATTATAGGCGCGCGCGCCTTCACTTTCTCAGAGCTAAAAATGCAATGAAAAATTAAACATAAACGTTAAATTGTTCTGCGACCGTAATGTGATTGCATTCTACATATAAATAAATCCAATTCAATACGTTGTTTATTTTTCGACTGCATATAGCTGCTGCTGTTAAATGCAGTCCAAATTTTTTAGCTCTGAGAAAGTTCGGCGCGCGCGCGCCGTCACTTTCTCAGAGCTAAAAATGCAAATTAAAAATAAACGTTAAATTGTTCTGTGACCGCAGCAAATCGAATCGGAAATCTCCAGCTTCCACCGAAGAAAAAACGACAAATATCTTCTCAAATAAAAATAAACGACTATAATTCCATCTAACATTGATTTTCGCTTCATTTTCTCTCTTTTTTTTATTCGACTGCATATAGCAGCAGTGGATATACACAGTCAAACGTGAAGAAAAAAAAATCGTCTGCATATAACGGTTATGGTTAAATGCAGTTGTTTGAAAAAAATCCGACTGCATATAGCGGCTACTGCTATATGCAGACGAATTTATTTTGTATGGAAATTTTTCGACTGCATTTAGCAGTGGCCTACAACGTTTCCCCAATCGCCGAAAATAGTTGAGTTGCGTAATCACTGTTCAGAGGATCGTAAACCGGCATCGTAGTTGACTATTTTCCTTCTTCACGACAAATGTACTGCAAAATAAACGATAACATGTGTTACACATGTCATTGACTTGAAATTGGATTTAAATTGAATCAGAGAGATTGAATTCAAACAGATTTCCGCTTACCTTCAGTTTTAATGAGGTTGAGGTTAGGTCTGATGTTTGTGTTGAAATTCGCCGATTTCCAGAGAGAAAATGAATCTTTGGCTGCAATATGATATTCGTTAGTTCGTATGAAATCCATTCATTCAATACTATAAACAATTCTTATTTCAATTTCAACATTCACTGCTGTGAATTATGCGTGTGGTCTTACCTTCCCATCACAGTTGTCTTTGCACACAGTGAACAATTGCCCAATTGTTTGTTCAAACTATGTAATTAGTTCAACGTTCGGATCTTATCAATTTATTTTGTTGACAAGTATGGTTTTTTTTCGGAATGATCCAATCGAATCGCTAACAAAAACAATATAAAATTCAGAAAGTATTATTTATTGTGCATTCAATGAAACTTTTCTAATTGCCAAAATGATGAACACGAAATGATTGTGCAGAAATAATTTTTTCTCTTTTGACGTTTGGATTCTATTTCGTATGCTTGGCTCAAATCGCTAGTTGGTCTAAAGTGTTTCAATCATACAAATGCACTGATTACACATTGAAATGGAACAAGTTTCAACGATTTCAAACTTGAAATACCGAATTAATTCCCAAATGATGTTCACAAGATGGCGCTGGTTGAGGAAAAGAGAGAAATCGCAACGAACTAACCATATGATTCATAACTACTTTTTTTTCGACGAGTTCTGCTTGTTTTCTTTGTCAAGTCACGTTCAGGGCCATTTATCAAACTGCGAGCTACTGAAAACTGCCTGCATCAATTTTTAATTAAATTTTGAATTTATGAAAAAACACCAATTTTCCCGAAGTTTGATCAAATCGACCGCAACATCGAACAAAGAGTTTGATTCATCACAGGTGTGGTGAATTCAAGTTTCACCATACAGTACGTTTGCTGATCTGCGGTTCACATCGTCGCATTGAACTTCATAGAATTTCAACAGAAAAACAAAACAAAACTTTCAGCTGTCAAACCAAATGAAGATGCTCTAATACAAAAATTGGCTGTAGAGTGAAAAGAAAACATTATACGACAGAAAAAAAGTAGAACGAAGATAAAGACGAGCGATTGAGTTTGTCCGTCAACCAAAAGGATTCTACGAATTGTGTGTATTTGTGCGTGCGTGTGAATGTGTTGCGTTTATTTGAGTCAACATTAAATCGGTATTTAATCAAATCTAAACGAATCATCTTTTCTTTTCTTCCTCTTCTGCCATAATGGAGAAATGGTGCAAATCTCGTATTTACTAATACGACTAGTGTGTATACAACCATATGAAATTGTGTACGATTATAGTATTTTACAGTGCCGTTGTTTGAAATGTTGTTTTTCGTCATGTCATTCGTAAATCAATAAGACAAAGACACACTTCGACGCGAAAATTCCGATTCTGTTACGAACAATTTTCATTCTCTTTCCGCTTTTTTTTGCCGATGAATGTTTTTGTTTTCATTACAAAATAAGAATAAAAGTCACAGCGGCAGCGAAAGACGACGAAAAACTTTATTTATTATTTAGCTATTTTAAGCCATGTTCAATACGAGGGAATCGCAAAAAATTAGCTTTTTGGATAAAACAAAAGCAGCGCGTGAAGAACGAGCACTGGAAAAGAAACGAGACAATGCAATCATTGTGATACAGTCATGGATTCGCGGCTGGTTAACGCGTATCAAATACGAACGACGAATTCTGTAAGTAGAAGTTCGGCGACGATTTGTTTTTGTTTTGATTTTGACTCATGCATTCCCCAAATAAACGATTTTGCAGAGCGGAGCTAGACGAAATAATACCACCAAATAACAAAGACACATCAAATGCAGACGTTGAATTGAAACCGAGCATCGATGTGTATCATGTGGTCAGTCGTTTTTTGATATTGTTCAAAGAAAAATCGCCTACATACAATGAACGGTTGGAGCGTTTGTGTCGCTATTTGTTGGCATCATTGGAATCGGAAAATCCGAAATTGAGCTACATCGGAGTGGCTCTAAACAAAGAGATCAGCATCGCTTGGATACGGCACATCAAACTGTTGCTATACAAATGTTGTGTATGCATGGAAAAACTAAAACCGGGTAATTAATTCCACTCGTCACTTTGTGTCAATCATTCCAAAATATCACATTAACATTTCTCTTTGTGCTTTCTTTGTCTCCCCCCCCCTCCCCCATTCCGTTAGATACGCATTCGGAGAGTTTGACACTGGCATTGTATTTGCATACGCTGGTTTCATTTACATCGCCAAACACATGGGCTCTGTTGAAAGTAAAAAGTTTGACGGCATTGAAACCCGGAATGTCACAGCTGTGCAGCAATGTGCTTGGTGCACTCGTTCAGAAGGGATTTTTTATCACATTACGGGTGAGAATGACATAATTGACATTCCGTCCAAAACTGGTGCCAACTAAAACAAACTGTTTTTTTTTCCTCTTCGTCTATGACTATTTTACAGCAAATACTGTTGAAGGGAACCAGCCGAACGAATATTACACTCAAACCGATCTCATTCAAAGCCGTTCTATCGCTATCCATTCGACCGTTGATATCGGGCAATTTCACCGAAAATTTAATGTCCATGTTTTTGGTGCATATCTTATCAACACCTGCCTTAATTTATCAAATCGAAGCAAATGTACCCGATTCACTGCAAGTATTCCAAACGCATACGGTTCTGGAGCGAAGCCTTGATTTGCTGGAGAAAGAACAAAATATGAAAATCATCACAAACAGCATGAAAGGAACACAATCATTAGCTTTATTGGCCAATCTTATCCACTTATTCCATTTGGAGCCTATTGAAACGGCAACGAAATTCGGTTTTCCCACATTCACGGTAAATAATTGAAATAGTTTAGCTTAAATTAAAATTGATGCGATCGCGCGTGTATGTCTCATGCTCATGAATGAATTTCTGTGTTTCAGTTTGTTTGCATGAAGCTGTTGCAAAGTATTCCACATTCAGTCGGACCGAAAGGTGGTACATTCTCACAATGGCATGAACTTTTAGGATGGTTCTCACCCAGCCCAGATGCACCTCTCAACGAAAATTTGTCACTGATCAAAAGACAATTGTATTTGTTATGGGGTCATCGGACAGTGAAACTGCTTCTAGGTAAGAGACACATTTTGTCTATCAAACTATTCTTGCTCACTCTTCCCTACACTCTTTCTTTTGCTTGCTTACTTTTTCTCCCGCACTCGTTCCAATCTCTATCCCAGTTACCCTATAGCAAAATTTTATTGAAAAATTTCATTTAAACAACTCGAAATAATTTCAAACCATCTTTCAGGTGAAAATTTAAAGGAGTTGACAATGGGCTACGAGAAAATCGAATATACATTACCACAACAAGGCTCTGGGAATTTGTTGAAACGCGCCTTGGAACGAACACAATCGAAATCAACGCAAAGCAAAGCGAGCAAACCGTGGCGCAAACTGGGCTCACCGGAAATATCCAAAGTAGCCATCGTTTGTTCCATGTATCATGCGGCATTGCAAACGCTATCTCAATTGAAATTGGACATTCTATCTGGCCTATGTTACAACGACACACTATTACACGATCTATTCATATTGATTGCCTCGTTAGGCATTAATTGTGGCTTGAAATCGTTCTTAGAACTCTTATCGCTCGCTTCAAACATCTACCCACCGCCACTTTTGATGTTATTGCTATTTTGTGATTTGATGACACACTATGTGACGTGAGTGAATCAATTAATCCCTCTAAACTGAGTCCATTTCTATTCCTCAAATTAAATGTTCACTTTGTATTCAACAGAATTTTAGACGACATCGAAATGTACGAGCAACAGACACCGTTCGAACTCGTCGACTATGTCGCTCTTTCAAGTTTCCTGAACAATTTTTTGTACAAAGCAATTCAGGAAAATATATTTGGTACGGATCTCTTTATATTTTTGTCGCATTTTCATACGTTTCCAAATTGCAGACCGTTACAATTTATATTCCATTTCCGAAATTAATTGAATTTTAATCCAATTTCCAGATTTGAAGGTGATAAATTCAACACCACTGTTTACATCAATGCATACGTTGCTATTGTGTTTGTATCGACGTGATTGCCGCCGTCAATTTGCGCCAAAAAATCATTGGCTAATCTACGATATTCGGCCATCGAACTTTCTGGCCGATTTGGAGAAGGGCAAAAAACACACACAAGTGCTTTTATCAAAAATGCCACACATCATACCGCACGAAGATCGGGTGAAACTATTCCGAAAGTATGTTCACAACGAAAAAGCGGTACTCGGTTTGACCGAATCAGCGTGTGCGTCGCCCAGTTCAGCATTGATTACGATACATCGTGATCGAATCGTTGAAGATGGCTATCGCCAGTTGGCAATGCTGCCGCCGCATGCGCTCAAGGGAGTTATTCGTGTAAGATTCATCAATCAGCAGGGTCTTGATGAAGCGGGCATTGATCAAGATGGTGTTTTTAAAGAATTCTTAGAAGAAACAATCAAACGCGTTTTTGATCCATCGTTAAATCTCTTCAAAACAACCAACGACCAACGATTGTATCCATCGCCAACATCACAGTTGCAGGATAATCATTTACAGCTGTTCGAATTTGTCGGACGCATGCTCGGCAAAGCCGTTTACGAAGGCATTGTGGTCGATGTACCATTCGCCATGTTTTTCCTATCGCAACTGCTCGGCCAAACACAACAAGCGCTGTACAGTTGCATGGACGAACTACCATCACTAGACAAAGAACTATATCGCAGTTTGACTTTTATAAAACACTATCAGGTTTGTTGAACCACCAAAACCGATTCAACATTCAAACGTATGACTCATTTGGTATATGTATGTGTTTGTATTGTTCGCAGGGTGACGTATCCGACTTAGATCTCACATTTTCGGTGGATGAAGATCAAATGGGCAAAATCGTTACACACGAACTGCATTCTGGCGGCAGAGCCAGACCGGTGACTAATGATAATAAGTATGGCCAAATCTTTCTTAGAATTATCTGTAGCGAATTTCAATTTACGTTTTATAAACGAATTAAATGGGATTTCCATTGTAATAGCAATTTCATTTTTAAAATGATTTAAGACTAAACTTGCATATTTTTATCCTTTCCAGAATCAACTATATTCATTACATGGCGTATTTTCGAATGCATACGCAAATTCGAGATCAAACCGCTGCTTTCATTCGTGGTTTTCGAAGCATTGTCAATTTGGATTGGTTGTCACTATTTTCGACTCCAGAAGTACGCTGTTAAATCAAATTATTTATTCGAGGAATTTCATTCTTTTGATTTTTTGTTTCTTTTTCGAATTTGATTTCATTGTTTATTAATTTTTATGTAATTTTCTAATAATCATTGTGCTTTTTTTTCGTAGTTGCAACGTTTGATATCAGGTGATACAGCACCGTTGGATCTGAAAGATCTACGGAAGCATACGCAATATTATGGTGGATTTCATGATTCGCACCGGGTTGTTGGCTGGCTGTGGGATATTCTATCTCGTGACTTTACTGAAGATGAACGAAAACTATTTCTTAAGGTAAGTCGAATTTTATCATTCAAATATTTTTGGAAGAAAAAAATTTCAGCTTTTATTCAATTAAAAAAACAATTTTCCTTCAATATAGTTTAAAATATTTTGTCAAAATTGTTATTCGCTTTTTTTATTGAAAAAATTGGTTTCCGAAAATAATTGATTCATCCCTTTTGATTTTCAGTTTGTGACAAGCTGTTCAAAGCCGCCACTCCTTGGGTTTGCCCATTTGGAGCCGCCGTTTTCCATTCGATGTGTTGAGGTGGGTGATGACGAAGACACTGGCGATACAATCGGCAGTGTAATTCGTGGATTTTTTACAATCCGCAAAAAGGATCCGTTGAACCGTTTGCCGACATCATCGACATGCTTTAATTTATTAAAATTGCCAAACTATCAAAAGAAGGGTACACTGCGTGACAAATTGAGATACGCCGTTTCAAGTAACACCGGCTTTGAATTGTCTTAAGCAAAACAAACGAAATAGAACAAACAAAAAATAAAATTTAACGGGTACGCCAATGCAAAATTCAGCCAAAACGAACAACTTGATGTTTTGTATAAATAATGTGAACACAATTTGAATCAAACTTCCAAAGATATTTACAAACACAAAAGAAAAAAAAAACAAAATTAAACAGAAAACAAACAAAAAAAACACACATACACACAAATTTAATGGAAAAATCATTAGTTTTTTTACTTTTATTTTAATATATTTATCGGAATAAGCTTTTGAAATATTTATGAACTTATTATAAACAACAAATTGTTAAGAAATTTTAAGAAATGGAGCGGAAGAAAAGTCGTAGAGAAGGAAAAACAAGAAATTGTAAATATGAAGAATGAGAATGTAGTATTCGGCACTTGTCGCCCATAATTCGTTTGTGAATGATAGCATCTAAGAATTCCTGTGGGAAATTCTACAAATTGCAATGGCTATTTGAAACGTTTAAGAATACCTCACTGAAACATTGAAGGAAAAAAATAATTTACATTAATGAATAAAAGATCACGCATTATCATTTTATTAATGTTCTCTCATCTGTGAAAACGAAGAAAACGAAGAAAAATTTGGAGTTAAAGCCGTTATTTATCACACATCTTATAAGTTGTTACATTTTTAATTCTTTTTTTCACTAGTTCTGTTTCCTCTCGATTTTTAAATTATCTCATGTTATCCGCTTTAAAAATGATGTTATTTGAAGAAAATGGAAAATATCCCAATTTGAATGTTGAAGAAGAACAAAAAAATCAAATCCAGTGTCCTCACAAAAGTAATGCTAGCAATCGTTAGAACTAAAATAAAGAAAAGATAATAACTGTGATAGCATCAACCCAATAGAATTCACTCAACAATAAATAAAATAAAAAGAAAATCCCAAATTGAAATTTAACACAAAAATTGTATGATGTAATTAGCGCTGTATTCTAGGCAATTATTCAAAAGATTTCCAGGTAATACCGTTTAGTGACATTTGTGCACGGATTTGCACTGTGACTCACTTACCATTCAGTCGTTTTTTCGCATATTTTCTTTTCGTCTTGTGTCGGTTTGGCTTTCGAACAAACCCAAAACCGAAAAAATTTGATATTGACCTATGCAAATGGACAAGAAAAAGCCATTGACTCTACGGGAGCAAATCTTTGACAATTCATATGTTGAAAATCGAAATTCGCAAGAGCATCGTTTGAAGAGTTCGACACTTCATGTCTTGTGTGCCCGTGAGCGTTTCATCTTATGTATTTTTTTTTCTTCTTCCTGGTGTCTTTAGCCGTTTGAACAAACGACATATTTCTGTTGCTTGATGAAGGCCACGCCAATTTTTGAATGTAAGTGTTTAGTTTAGCAGCTGTTTTTCATGGATACATATCGAGCTGGTCGTCGGCTCTCTATCACCGTTTGCTTGTATTACAGCAGCATGTACGCAGCATTGCTCCGAAACGCGTACACAGAGAACAGAAACACTGAAGAGAAATATCTCAAACTGACGCTTGGACTGTTCAACCGATGCACACATACACACAGCCGAGGCAACCAGTTTCAATGTTTGGAGCATACAACAGCAGGCAGTAGCAGCAGCAGCAAGCAAATCGGTACAGGGAATACGGCGTTAAAAATGCCGTATCGTTCAATATCGTTGCTGTGTTCGGATGAAGAAAAAAAAAACCACGCATCCAAACTCACTACACACAATCGTTGTTGTGTTTCGTTTGGCATGTCGCAGCCGAAACTCGGAACAAAATCCACGTTCAGTGAATGCGCATGGACTTTTTTTTTGAACGATTCGTTTTTCTTCTGATTTTCAGAATAAAGAAAATAAAAATCATTTTCATGAATGAATTTCAATCAAATAAAAACCGAAAATTTCTTCGAAATTTGTAGAAATTAGTAGAGTAAATCTTAAGTATCGTTCAGAGCGATTGACTTTTAACTAAATGCTCACATTGGCTGTTGTAGCGAGACCTACACACACACATCGAAACCGTACAACTAAGCATACGATTCTCACACCTAATCACGTTCGCCATGCACACGAACACACATTCGGTGCAACTACACCGCAACACACAACAACAGCAGCGAAAAGCAGTAAGCAGCAGCAGCACAAACAGCCGCCGCAATAAACGCACATAGCCAACAACACATAGAATATTCTCCGATTTAGTCTTTAACAGAGTGTCGTCGAATTGTGTTGTACACGCGTCGCGTTTCAAGCCTCACTGGAAGAGAGAGAAAAAAAATTGAAAGAAGAAAAAAAAGAGTACTTTTTTCTACTGTTTTCAAAACTGAATCTTAATCTTTATCTATTTTTGTGTTTAAATTTCATTTTTGTGTTGTGGAACACCGATTCCCATCGAGACACATTTGCTGAACATGGCAAATAAGATACAACGAAAAAACTTTTGACGTAAACTAAAAGAATTCGCAGTAAAAGCAAAGAAGACGGAAACAGAAATCAACACATAGATTAAAATAAAAATCGAAATTGGTCGGGATTGCAACCTAGACACACACACAAGACGGAACAGTTGTTTTTGTTACACATTTTTCAGTTCAACTCAACAATTTCAAAAAAAAAATAAAAAAAAACAAGAGACAGAAAAGTGCATTTTGTTTTCGTGCAATCGAATCGGGTTATTTTCTTCTGTATAGGGTTTTCTGTGCATTTTGTTTCTCTTTTCGGATCGAAAACAAACAAAAGTTCGAATTATCGTACACATCGATTTTAAAGCCAAATTTTTTTTTGTTATCTTCACGCGGTGATTACATTTTTGCTGGGCAAAAACGGGAAAAGAAACTGATTCGGCTCAATCAAATATCCCAGAACCACACACAACTGAATAGCAGAAGAAAAATAAAAAACCACCAAGAAATATATAGTTGCTGTATGATTTTCGGGAAATGACGGATTCGGTTGAATAACAAGAAGTAAACACTGAAGTAAGTATAAACGACATATTGTGTGCACTGTAGTTAAACGTCAAACTTGCTATGGATATTGAATCGAATGTAGTCGTGTTTGCAGATAGATGGAGAGAAGAAGAGAAGGAAAGTAAAAAAAACGTAATGCCAAAACGTGAATGAAACAAAGTATCAAAACGGCAAATTGAATTGCGCATTGTTCATAGCACTGAAAGAAGAAAAAAAACACACACACCAAATCTAACCATTGCAAGGAAAGAAAAAAGACTTTAAGAAAATGTCATTTGTAAATTGACTGAATGGAAGGAAACTTGCATATTGTGTTTATTTCCATAGACGGAACGAGCATGTTATATTACTCATATTGAAGAAACAAATAAAAAAAAATATGAGTGAGTAAAGCCGAAACCAATTTGGCTGCGGCTCAGATGTTATTTGCGAAAAAAAACCATCTTGTATTTACTTTTCGGTCGATTGTGTTTATTTTTTTCTCTCTCCGTGTCGTTTCGGTTGTTTCTGTGTTTTTTTTTTAGCAAGAAAAAATTGAGATCACAGAATAGAATGAGCAGTGTTTCGGTACTGTTTTCTAGCTTTTTTTTTAATTTATTGACAATCTGATGTGTGTGTCGCGTATGAACGGAAGCAAATTCGTCTGCGCTTGATTTCAACCGTGTGTGCTTGTGATATACGATACAGCTTTCATGCTACACACTCTATATATATACACATTTATGCGGTTTTATCGATGACGGCTCGCTCAAATATTTCGGATAATTTTCAGCAAATTTTTCTTTCCTGTCCAAAAATCTAATACCACACACAGCAGAAGAGAAAAAAAAATAACAACCAGAGTCACAGCAGTAAGGAAAAAATATAATCGCCATACAATAGTGTTGTAAACATATACGTATGTATATACATATAAAAAGCAAGGCAACATCGGTTCGTCTACACATAATACCACACGATCCACACGTACGCTATTTTATTATACCACCACAGACGTAAACAAATACAATGTAGTCGACGATTTTTAGTAAGTTCATTCTCCTAAGTCATTAACACATCGCGCAAATAAATGTGTTGATGATGCGAATGAAAGCATAAAGAACCCAGTATGAATGGGACCGAATATTTAAATCTGAAACACCGAAAAAAGCAGCAGCAACAGCAACGCGCACGGAACCCGTGTGCATGAGCACACGAAAAAAGAAGAAGAAAAAAGAACTATACAAAGAGAAGGCGAAATAACAAAGACACACGGAATAAAACAACACAAAAATTTCAACTTACAAAAATGCAATACAATCAACAAAACGGCATACCGCATTGATACATTGCATTCAGATGTAGATATAGTGTGGCATGTATATGCTTATTAGCAGTTTATGCGGAGCCCAGAGAGAGAGAGAGAGAGAGAGGGGGGGGGAGCAAAAGCGAGAGCATGTGAGAGAGCAGAGAGTTAGTCATTTGGCACGCTGTGATACAATCTCATATCAGCCAACTCTCTATGCACCGACCCGATGTTTTTATTAAGCAAATCATTTTTTTTCGGTTTCCACCTAACTATTTGTTGCTGTTATGTTGCCTGGGTAAAAATTGTATCGGGACACACACTCAATAAAAGTGGCAATTGTGGCGTTGATTTTAATGTGGAACCGATTTACACAAAAGAGCCCCGTCTCTAAAATTCGAAAGCCAGTCGAAAATCCGACCAATAATTCAATTGGATTTCAACACAATTCACGTGAAAATTTGGTTATTAATTTATTTTACGACATTTACCAAGAATCATTATTGAAACACACGGCAAACGATGCCGAAAAAATGCCTAAATTTTCTAGTGAAAAAGAAATACGAGACTCGACAAATTGCAGCTTGAGCTTAAGATTTAATAGTATTTTGTTGTTGTTCTGGTTTTTCCACCAACAGTTGTTGTTGAAATCACTGTACAACATTCGGCCAGGAAATTTGATACGTGTGTTCCAAGTACTTGTATCTTTTTTTTCTTCTCACATGTATGTACGGCGGCAATCAATCACATCCAATGAGTCATTTACATCTATATTGTTTAAGGTTCAAGAGCTCCAGAGTTATGATGTTGAATCGGTTAATTCGTTGTGCTTTGCTGTCTTTGTTGCTGCTGCTGCCTCTGATGCCGCTGCTTTTTTACGATTGCATATTTATTTACTTGTTTAATTTTGTTTTCTTCTTACTTTACACGGCTTAAGCCCATTAGGTTTTCGATTGGAAATTCTTAAAATGTGTACAGCACACATTCAATTCCGGTTATTGTTTTATTTATTCTTTGTGTCGTATTTCCTTTTATATTCACAGCATGAATTACATTGCATGAACGACGAAGAATGCGATTCTCCACCGTTTTGTTGGTTACGTATGCATACGTCTCTTACGTGCACAATGAATAAAAATCAATCGCTTGTCATCTCGAAAAACGATTTGGCTCTTCAATAAAATGTAATTTATTTTCGTCATTCGCTCACACAGTTCTCGAATGTTATGCGAAATGAGTGAGATCGAGTGGGAGCGAGCGGCAGAGAGTGAAAGAGAGATTGATATGAAGTCGAGAAAAGAAAAAAAAACGTACGAAATTCGCTCATTTTGTATTGAATATGTTCTAGATCGTCTCTTCCAATCGATTTCGTACGATGATATTTCTAATATTCAGTAGAATATTAAATTTATGATGATGTCTCATTGCATTCGCCAATTTCTCTCTGTCTCTTTTACTGTCTCAAGAACCACTGACTTTTCGTCGAGCGCTGGATTTGCTGGAAAGTCTTTTTCCACACTCTGCTTGATGGTTTGATTTGAAAAGTGCTAGTTTATCATTTTATATGTTATGTTTTTTTACCTGTCGCCATGCGTCATGTGTCGAATGGTGCTGAACCGTCTCATAAATTCATCGTAGCACATTTTGGATGCCACCTGAAGTGGCATAAGTAAATGGCATAAATGCCAACAGGAAATGCTGCATATATAACTCAATTATCCGATACGATGACTTTTACCGGTCGCTGGATCCAACAGAAATTTTGCTCGTTCCGAGTCTCTCGCTATTCGTCAGACACATTGGCTCATGGCTAGGCTAAATAAATTCCAATCAAATCATAAGCCGAAGTGCCATCAAAATTGCGTTATTAATTTCGATTTTATACCGGTATTTCGTAGCAATGCCAAACGATATAACTGTCTGCAACATTGCATTTAACGCATCACTTGAAAGTTTTCAGATTTCAATTTTCAATTTTTCGATTCTCTGGCTCTGTATCGCATTGCTCTCTGCAGCTGCATCTTTGTCAAGGCGTATGAATTAAATATCCTCAATATGTATGAATTGGTAGTCATGCTCATCAACGGTTGTGATTTATTATTTACACTACTGTACACACAGAAAGAGAGAGAGAGAGAGAGAGAGAGAGAGAGAGAGAGAGAGAGAGAGAGAGTATAAAAAGAGAGACACGGCTCATTTCCAAAGGAATATCCGAACTTTTTCCATTTTGCTTATGCAGTTTTTGTGGTAAAGTAATGATTGTCAATGACGAGAGGATTGATTCTTCTTTTTCATTGGCCACAAAGCATGGAACGCGATAGAGAAAGATGAAAAAAGAATAAGAGCAGCAGCAGCAAAGAATGCTGCTGGATCATTTCGGTGAAAACGTGTGTGCATCACCAATTTCCGCCGCTACCATCTGAAAATCGCTCTCTCACTCGCTCTTCCCTTTCTCTCTAAAAACTTGGCGTTCGTAATTTTAGATATGGATATGGATATATAAATTTATTTAGTTTATTTGGTTTGGTGCGATGGTTCAAAGACCTCTCAGCTGTGTGTGTTACACACAGTTTGGTGTTTGTTGTTGTCTTTGTCGCTGTCGTTACTGCTATGGATATTTTTGCGGACGGTACCTTAGCCCGTTGCACAGTCGTTATTTCGAGTAGATGTATACTGTATAATATTTTTTGGTGTATTTATACACACATAAATATACGGATGTATATATATATATCGTATCTAGCGTTTCGGTTTGTTTGCCCGTATACGTGTATTTCATGTGAAGATTCACTCCCCCTATTTGAAACGGAATAGAAAACTCGTTTCATATAAAAGTACCCTCGTATTTGAGAGAGCGAGGAGCGCGCACAGGACAACAGGCAGGCAGGCAGGCAACAGGCAGCGGTGCAACCGAATAGCCTACAGCACATACACACAGCATACAAAGAGAGCAGTATTGCTCGAGAAACATACAATGGAACCGCCATGCAATCACTCTGAACTAAATGGTTGAACAAAGCGAACACGGGCAAAGCGCACGTTGCATACACACATTTTCGATTTCGACCCAAAACGACACTTCTTCTTTAGCTCATCACACAGTAAATCGACATCGACAAATTTTTATAGAAAGTTGGTGAATTAAATAAACGTGTGTTGTAGATGTGAATTAGATTTAATTACTGACATATTTTCTCAGATACAATGTTCAACGATATAGTGATTATATCTACACAAATAAGCCCGTGTTTCCTCGCTCAAACTGATTAATGCTCCCGTCGAACATGGACAGAACGAGAACCAAATACTTCTTCTTCTTCCATTCCACTACGCTCTCTGCTTGTCTCTATCGTTCACTCGTTCTACTCCCATGTATGCATGGGATCCGCATTTTATGTTTATCGCTTTTCAAACAAAAATTTATTACAAGCGGCGTTTTCTAATTTGACTAGATTTCAACATTTTCACTTCGTTCTCATTTTCGCCACGCTCGCGCGATATATTCGTTAATAATATTGTCTTCAAAGCAAAAGCCCTACGCATTGCTATTGCTTCACCATTTTTCATTAATTTATTGATTTCTGTGTTTCAAAAGGAAACTACATCAAAAGTAAACAAAATGAATTATTTTCTCTCTCTCTCTCTCTCTCTCTCTCTCTCTCGACCGCTTTTCTAATACGATGAATGAAAAATTACGAATAATTTAGTCGTTTTTTTCTGTTGTGTTATTGTTTCTACTGCTGCTTCTGTTGCTGCGGTTCTACAGTAGTAGTAGTTGTTGTTGTTATTATTATTGTTGTTATATCGCTTTTGAAATGAGGAATCTATTAACACGTTTTCGTGTTTTTCTATTTCCCGTACTACAAACTAGTTTTATGTGCGAATGCGTTGAGCTGCTACTGCTGTTGTTGTTGTTGCTGCTGTTTTGGTGCACTTAGATACACAAAAAAGCACATGAATGAAAAATAATATGAATGTGGAGTATGTTTGTCAAAGGTTATTAAACAGTTCAGTGGCTACTGCTGTGCTGAACTGAACTGAAAAGAGAAGGAGAAAAAATCCAGTGAGAAAAATATAAATGAGAACAACCAATCATTTTCAGCCACAAAGCGGCTTAACATTCATTCTTGATTATAGTGTGCCCAACAGGTAGTTAGTATGAGTTCATATAAGTTTAATTGAAATTATGCGGAACATTTCAGCTCTTTAAATACAATCCAATTAAAAGATCAAACAATATGTGTTTAAAGGCTATGTCAACTATTTTCCATTTCTCAGTTCTCTGTCCTCTGTCCTCTATCTCTATCTCCTAATGCAATAGAGATAATTTACTGCGCACTCGATCTTTCTTTCGCCCTCCCTCTCTCTCTGTGTGTTTCCCCCCGCACACACTCACTACCCGTTCATTCGATCTGCAGCGCTGCATTCTTTTCAATTAGAAAAGAAACGTAAACTTTAGTAGAATATTCATAGAAGAAATCAAACTAATCAATAAATTACTTGTTTGCTTTTAAATACTGATTATGGCTTAATTTTCCATCGTTTTTCATGTTTTTTTTCTTCTTCGTTTTTTCCCACTTCTAGAGATTTTGAAACACGATCGAAGGCATATTGAGACTCTTTAGCAAGATCCACAGGAAAGAAACGAATCCATACAAAAAGTATTAGCGCGAAGGAAAAAAATGCAACAGCTCATCAGTAATAAGATCGGATTCACATTGTGAGAGAATACATTCTTGTTTTGAATAAACCGTGGAGGAGCGAGTGAACGTGCGCACACATACACACTCCGAAGAAGCATATATTAATAGTTTATGCGAATAACACGTCGCCCGTCGAAACCAAACCGATACAACAAAGAAATTCGAAAGAGTAAAGGAAAAAAACAGCAAACGCAACGAAACAGAGACGAACGAGACGCAAAGAAACCGGCGACAACACATGATTGTGATTAATTTGATTTCGTTTATATTTGCACGACGATTAATAATTTTTTCCTCCTGCAAGCAGCAGTTGCAGCAATAGCAGCAACCTTTGTGTGAAAAAAAGTTTTCCGTTTGCTTAAATAGCTAATATACAACACACATAATTAACTATGTGCTGACGAAGTTGAAACATTTAACCGTTTCACTGAATAAAAATAACCCGAAAAAAACCAACCAACGTATTCACAACGGTATATCGCGCGATTTGTTTTACATTTGAAGTAATCATTCGCAAGGAATTCATTTGACGTCACAAGTTTACATTGATCCAGGCAATTATTACTTCGTCGTCTTTTTTATTCGTCTTAAGCTGTTTGTGTTCTAGCGATTTTACCGTCAACTAATTGACTTCAAGCAAACAGAATCAGTCAAAACAAAATTACATTTCTGCATCATTTTCGTATCTCTTCGGTCTCTCTCGTTTAATCGAAAGGAAAGAAAAAAATAAATAAAATAAAACGTGTGTATGTCTACGACAGCTTAGCCAAAAAAAAACAACAAAACAAAAATTCCATGAATTGCAAATGGAAATGCAGAAAACCAGTGAACGCAAATAAAACGAATGCCAAAATTGTGTAGAGAGACGGAAAAAATAGAAAGAGAGAGAGAGAGAGAAAACGAAGTGAAGTCCAATTCAATCACAGACATACATACGTACACACGCGTTCAGTCCGTGCATTGTCAAAACGTATCATAACGAGGCAAATGATACATGCAGAACGCTTGACTGTTACTCCAGTTGACAAACGTGAACCATCTAATTAAAAAGAGAAAACAAAATCGTCGACACAAAGTTAAAGGCACAGACTCATAAAATATATAACATTATTGAAGAGGAGAGAGAGAGAGAGAGAGAGAGAGAGAAACGGAAGTCGTAACACAACATAGAAAAAAACACTCGAAGCTTTATAGTTTTATATTTTGAACTAATTTTATTGCCGTTCCCCGTTCGATTTTATTGGTTTTCGCGAACAATAACTGTAACATTTGCTGGCTTACGATAAGAATTTGATTGGATAAATTTGCGAATTTCAACACAAAGAAAACGTTTTCGAGGAAGAAAAACCAACACACAAAGAAATTAGAAATTTGGCAATTAAAATAAAAGTATCAAATCCACAATTTTTGCGGGCAAAAACCAATCGTGTAACAGTTTGCATGCACTTGGTCACAAACACGTGTGAACAACTCTCGGCCCAAGAAAAATCGCTCAACACAAACACAAAAAGGATTTCGGCCGACCACCGCATTTGATTAAAGCGAGTGGGAATTAATAAGAAGGCGAAACGGACAGAAAGGAAACGTCGACGACGACGAAGACGACGACAACAACAAGAGAATCCACAACCGGGGGCGCAAGCTCTTGAGCAACAACGCAATTTTTGAGTGTATGGAAAAAATCTAATGGCGGCCGTCAGTGGGCCAGCTCGCCAATCAAGAGTATCAATGAGCGTTTCAATGTCAATTGTCCAAGGTGGTGCGGCCGCTCAACAGGGTGCTATACTTGCAGCAGCCGCCCCGTACTATCAGCCAGCCGTTTCACAAGATGTCGTTCCCGATCGACCCATTGGATACGGTGCATTCGGCGTTGTATGGTAAGTACACACATTTTTAACTTCTCTCTTTTTTTACACATTTCATTCGCTTTGTCATGAGATGGATGCGCCATCGAAAATGTGTGCGCTTGGCAAAAAAGCCGTTACACGCTTTTGATTTATCACGTTGTCCAATCCGAGCACACATTTATATATGCATTATGTATGTATGTGTAGGAAATATGCACGGAGCAGCAGCGGTTTCAGGGGACGATTTGCGTACGGGTAATTAATCCGCTTGCAAACAAAAAACCGAATCGTTCTTGGTATTCGTTCATTTAAATCGTATTCTCAATTTGTGTGGCCTTTCAGTGTAAGTGTTAGTGCCAGTGCCAAAAAGTACAAAACTGCAATTTCCATCAACATCACCACCATCAACGTCTCTATATATGTTGTACAGAGTTTCTCCCTGTAAAAATTCGTTCTATCAAACATGAAAGTCCAAAGAGAGAAAATCTAAATGTTAGAAAACTATCCGAAAAAGAGATACATGCACCTTTGTGCATCAGATTTTATGTGCGACACATTTATTATTCAATTTTCAAACGAACGAATACAAGCAAAGACGAGAAAAAATATAACAAATTTTGGGTGAACACTCGACACAAGCAACATATTGAACATTTTTGGTTTCATGAAAGGAACAAACAGACGATTTAAAAATGTGATGAATATTCTTAGTGCATTCATTCAGGTAGAGATTTTCGTTTGAATACTCAACGGTCAGATTCAAAAAGATCGACACCCAAACCCAAACACAGACATACACACATGCATACGTTCTATTCAAATGAAAGTTAAAATGAAATGTTTTTTTGGAAACTCATAAAAAACACCGATGGAAAGTGGAAACCGTAAAAAATGCGAATATTTCAGTTCAATTGGCAAATCGCATTCTCTTTCTGTTGTTGTTTTTTGTTTTCTGTTCAACAGTAAGCGATGCGTATTTGGTGCAAGACTTAATCCGCTTTGGGTTTGTATGCATCTTTTGCTTGAAAACTGTTGGGATTTTTACAGCAAAATGATCTTTCATTTAAAATGAGATTCAATTTGTTTTTGGTTGAAATAATTTTACTGTTGTTACCAACGAGTGTCTGAGACGACAATAAAACATATAATCAAATGAAAATTCGAGAAAAAAAAGAAGCAGAAAAAATCGAAGAAAATGAACATAAATGTTCCAATGGCTTCCACTAGAAGCTCTTCAGCGGATGTTCTACAAATGCAGGCACAAATCGTTGTTCTCACTGAACCCAACGACATAAAGAGAGATAGAGAGAACACGAGAAGGAGAGGAACGAACAGAGAGCGACAATAAAGAAACTGCTTCAATAATAAAATAACATTGACACGGCCTACTCTGTTCATTGAAATAAACGTAGAACATGTGTGTGCAAATGCATTCAGCGTCACTTCCCGAGAGTGGAGAAACAGAAAAGTAAACGTCGATGCGTCGTTCAAAGAGCCCATTTTCATGCCACAATCGAAGGGTAGAAATAAAATGGTTGAGGTTCGAACACAAAACCAATGCCTGGATACACACTCTTTCTCTCTTTCTCTCTTCCACACACACACACACATACACAGCCGCGCACAAGCAAGACGAGACCAAGAAGAAACATACGATCGACACGGGAGGAAAAAAATGTATATATAGCGTATCGTGCACAATTGAAACGAGACAAAATTCATTTTATGGGGGCTGCAATGAACCGCTTTGTGTGTGCATTCGGGAAAAATATTCCGTTGAACGGAATTCACTTTTGCTGTTGGTGTTGTTGCCACTCAAATTCGTTTCTCTCTCTCTCTCTCACTCACTTTGTCCCTTACACTGTGTATGTTCCTCGGGATATAATGCAGGGATTGGGAATAGGTATTGGTACAAACACACAGTCGGCAAATCATTATTATCGTCGAATATCCACTTATACCGGGATACAGACCGTATCTCGCCAAAGTTTATTGTGGAAAATATTTTTGCAAACGTCGTTCGCCCTTATGCACGCATTTCGTTTCTCTTCTTTTTTTCTTGCCCTTTTTGTGCCGAAACTATTGACTCGAGAATTATTTTGCCTTGTTTGTAAGTTTCACATCTTCCGCATAAACAAATTTTAAAGGAGAGCTGGAGAGGGAGCCCGGCACTCCACTCGACATTCGACGAATGTACCACTATAGGCAGCGTGTTGTTTGTTTGTGATTTTATGCGAAATGTGTTGTTCAAATGAAAACGACGAGTTGTGTTCGCCGAGCAGAAAACAAGAGCCAATCGTTGGATCTGATGAATGGATCAAGATTCGGTTGTGTTTCTTGCACATTTAGCCCCGATGAAAATGGCACAGCATTAATACGATACAAAAAACGGACGATAAACCGTTACGTTCAATCCTAGTTGCTAAAACTATAACATTTGGCCGGTGAGCAGCACTCGTACGAACACAGACAGATAGACACACGCATACACTCCTTCTTCATGTTCTTCACGCTGATTTTGTTTAATATTCCACCCGAGAGAAGAGAAACTGAGAATAAAACAATAATAAATGCAACAACATTGAATCGAATAAAACGCGTAGACGGTTCTGTGTTCTCGTTTCATGCCAGATGATAGTCAAGATAGTCGATTAATCATCGATTTAGATTTCAATCTGAACGCAGACGTCTTTTGTAGCACGACACACATAAACACAAATACTTGAAGCCATTCTCCTCTCCGGCTGCCATTTCAATGCTATTGTTGTTCGCTTTTCCTTCTTGATGGCATAATCAATATGTCGTTTTTTTTTTCTTCTTTCGGGTAGTGTATGTGTATGCATGTTCGTCGAGAGTGATGAGAGCCAAGACATTCCCAAGGATTTTCGATATTCAAACAACACACAATCATCAATTTTCTGCTTTTTTGGTTTAACGTCATTCCGCTCTGTTCAAAATGTGTTTCAATATTTTTCCAACACTTGAATAAAATGAAAATAACGAAAACGAAAGAATGAAAAAAAAGAATAGAAACAACAACAGCGGTGTTGCGCCCACAAGATGAAGAAGAAAGGTGTACGAGACGTGCTCACATTTCAATGGGACAAATTAAATTTATAGCGACAAGCTGGAGAATATTGAAGAATGCTATTCAATAATCGGTCGACAAGTGAGAACCGCATCACGTTTGTCAGTATGAATCTGGTTCCAGGTAAAAATATGCCTTGAATGTTTCACTTGAAATTGTGCTGTGCGTTCAATGGCTTCGTCTTCAATGTAATCTCATTGCACAACAACTCCCCTACCCCCTCTCTCTCTCTCTCTCTCTCTCTCTCTCGCGTGCTCTCTTCTTTCCAATATTGCACCTAGCTAATTGCAAATATTGTCTTCATCGAAATTATACTGGCATATATCTTCATCAGAATAGTCCTTGATTTGGAGATCCTTGGAATAAAGAAATATAAAAAAAGTCATTTTTGAACGCATACACACACACACACACACAGAGAGAGAGAGAGAGAGAGAGAGAGAGAGAGAGAGAGAGAGAGAGA